TATTAAATCCCAAAAAGTCTGATAGAAAGCCATAGAGAAGTCGTCTGGGCCCGGAGCTTTGTTAGCATTCATACCAACGATCGCTCCTTTAATCTCTGCCTCTGTAAAGTCTTCTTCTAAAGAGCCTAAATTATACTCTTTCTCTGGATATAAAAGAGACCAATCTATAAGCATATCAGTTTTTTTGTCTTGACCAAATATAGAACTGAAATAATCACAGAAAGCTTGTGAAATATCATTACCATTGGAGAGCTCCTTTCCTTGATAATTTATGGCAGCAATGTAGTTAGAGTTTCTATGAAAACTAGCTATTTTGTGAAAGAAGGTTGTGTTTGCATCTCCCTCCTTCAACCATTGAATCTTTTATCTTTGATGCCAATACGTTTCTTCCTCTTGGATAATAAAAGAGTAAGAAACTAGAATACTCTTTCTATCATTGAATTCAAGTTCAGTAAGTGGCCTCTGTTCTTCTAGCAGATCTCAGGAATTCAGCTTAGAAAGCAATTCAGATTTTCTAGAAATGATGGAGCCTAAAACATTTTTGTTCCATCATTTTATCCTTCTTTTGAGAAGCTTGAGTTTAAAAATAAAAATATCAACTGGAGAACCTTGGCAGTCAAAAGAGTTCCAGCAATTAGATATGAAAGGAATAAAACCTGGATTGTGGAGCCAACTTCTTTCAAACCTAAAAAGAGGAGGAGGAGGATTAATTCCTTCGCTATCAAGAACAATTGGAGAGTGATCTGAACCCAAATCAGGCAGAGAGAATTGAAGACAAGTAGGGAATTTTTTATCTCATTCAGAGAAAATTAGAAATCTATCAAGTCTGGCCATAGAAGGAGTCAAACGCTTGTTAGACCAAGTATAAGATCTGCTAGAGAGATGAAGATCTATGAGAGATGAATAATTGATGAAGTCTCTAAAGGATTTGATATCCTTATAAGAACCATCTTTTCCATTTCTTTCATCTGATGATAAAGTGACATTGAAGTCGCCACAAAGAACCCACGGTCCTTTGAAGGAAGAACGAATTCGATTGAGCTCCCACCAACACACTTCTCTATCCTCTCTATCGGTAGGAGCATAAACAAATGTAAAGGTAAAATTTCAATTGGAAAGCTTGTGATGAAGAAGAACCGTAACTGAGAAAATGCCAATATCAGATTTGATCATAGAAAAAATGCCTGACCAACCAACTAGGACCCCACCTCTAGAATCAATAGAATCGAGGCAACACCAGTGAACAATTCTCTTCCCTCCTATAGACTGCAATTTTCTAGGTAGAGGTGTAGATAGCTTACTTTCTTGGAGACCAATAACATCAATAAACGAACGAGACAAGAAATCCTTAACCAAACGCCTTTTGATGGGGTCATTTAGACCGCGAACATTCCAGGTAGCTAGCTTCATAAATAACATAATAGAGGACAACACCACAACTGCCATCTAAAACCACATCTAGGATTTTAAACTAATATCTACTTCTTTAGCTTTAAGAGAATCTATGGATTGTTCAGATAGAACAATTCCACAGTTGGAAGCAATATTTTCTATAACATTCTTAGCTAATGAGTTAATAGGTAAAGCAGAAGAAGAAGAAGAAGAAGAAGCGGAATGCAAAGAAGTACCTTTTTTTAATGGCACGGTTTGCCTTCCTAGCCGATAGAGTCTGCTTCAAGAAATTCTTGTGCTTGATGCTCAAGGATGACTTCCTTGCAATGTGAGAAGAAACCCCTTCAATAGGTCGACGAGAAAATTCTGGAGGAACAGAGCATGAAGTTTGAATGGATGGAGTTTGAGCAAAGTTTGGCGGGATAGATGTTGCAGAGTTTGAATCTGATTTCCCTCCAAGATAAGCTTCCCAAGTAGAGCGTTCTAGATAAATTGTTTGACTCTTCCATTTTTTCTTTATTAAATCAAATGGAAAATCCAGCAAAGAATTTGGAACCAAATCTGAGCTGTCATTCGTTGCCACAAAATAAGCCTTGCCATCTTCTACCATATTATTGGGATTTTGAGTGTGAATTATTTCCTTAGAAGGAGGAGGAATATCAGCAAGATTTCCTATCTCCACAGGATTGAAATAGTCTTCAATTACCTTCTTACCTTTATCATCCACCACCGCTGCTGCCTTGACTTGAGTGGATTCTCCTGCTGGCGACACCTTTTTAGGATGAGGAATCTGCTCTGCCTATTGTGTCTCTGGAACTGTCTCTCCTTGCGCTTCCATAGCACTCAAATGTTTGCCAACAACATCTGATCCTAGTTGCCCTACTCCAATTAGAGTAATCTCAAGCTTAACTTCTCTGGTCAGTCTATTTGAGAAGTGTAGGAACATATAACAGACTGAGGAATGCACTGGGGGTTTTAACCTTAATAAGGATACGAACATCTTCTCCATTAAGCTTGTCTTTAAGATTCTTGCATCCCCTCACCAATTCACCAAAGGATCCTACAATTTTCTTCAGAATATCCGTAGACCAAAATTGAAAAGGCAATTTCTTTATCTTAATCCACTGGTAAAAAGCAGAATCAACGACCTTCATACCAATATTTTCTGTCCAAGGAGCCAACCACCCTTTGAAATGACCAAAATCAATTCTATGCACATCAACAGCATCAAACATTTGATAAAGTGGTGAAAATTCCACAAGATAGGTTTCGTCTTTAATAGGAATTACTTTACCTCTTTATTCCTTCCATTGAAAATTTAAAGCCAGACTAATTTTAATGAGCTCTAGAGAAGGCGAACATTCTGCGATGGAAAGAATAGCAAAAGAGGTTAAGACTTTGGCATTGTTGCACAGGGTTGTTGATTCTGATAGATCGACTTTCTTCTCCTGCGGACAAGGATGGAACCTGCAGTTCTTAGCAACATGACGCTCCTCATTACATTTGAAACAACGAAATGCCCCTTTAGGGAAAAACTTAATGAAATGGCCTAAGTCGCCACATTTGAAATAATGCTTTGGCTGTTTTGGATCTCTGTAATCTGAGGGAGAAGGATGCCTCAAAAATTCGCTATTCATCTTACTCTCTTTCTTCTTCCTTGATACAGTGGTCCACCCTAGATCAGGGACTTTGTTAATATTCAAAGGACCAAAAGACTTTTGAAAATCGCTGAAGGAGGAAAAAGGAGGCTTCTTTGCTGGCTGATTATTATCAAACAGTGAATTGAAAGGACAAGGGAATTGATGCTGGTGTTGCTGCCACTTATGCTTAGGAGCCTCGAGAAAAACATGTTGGAGATTTTTGCATATCTTGGATATGACGTAGCCTTTCTCTAGATCGTGCACCACCTGACGACGAGGAGAAGAATTGAGAATCCCTCGTTGGGAAGGAAAACATAACCGAGCTGCATCGTTGTTCTGAATCTCCTTCCTACCATTGGAATTCGAGCTATCGCCACTATCCATTGAAGATGATTTGTTCCCGACGGATCTGAGGGGGGAGGCGTCGGGAGCACAGAGGGATAGGGGAGGGCGACTGCTTTGAGGGGAGGGGGAAGTTGAGGCGGCTGATCTGAGGGAGAGGGGGCGGATTTGAGGGGAGGGGGAGCTGAACCTTGGCGCAATGGAAAGGACGGCGGTCCGACAAGGAGATCAATGATCAGCGATGACTATGATGTGTTTTGACCAAGCAAAGACACAACTGAAAGCGTCAATCCTCACAAAGGAGGATATCGGCTCTTCCTGAATGCCTCACGAAGGAGAACACCGAGGGAAAAAAAGACCAAAAAAGCTGATATATAGGGAGTGATAAAGCTACCGGCACCCCCCAAATGCCTCACGAAAGGGAATAAAGAGGAAACCAAGACCAAAAGAGATGATATATAGAGGGAGATAAGGCTACCGGCTCTCACTAAGGAGAACAAAGAGGGAACCAATACCCAAAAAAAATTGATATATGGAGAGGGATTAGGCTACCGGCTCAACTCGAATGTCTCACGAAGGAGAACAAAGAGGGAACCAATGCCCAAAAAAAGTGTGGCTGAGGGAGTGGA